CGTCTGCGATGGATGATCAATACTTTTTGCATTTTGGGAATGATCTTTTGGGGTTGCATTTTGCTAAGACTTTGTTTTGCATTTTGGTAAGACTTTGCACTATTTTGTAGGATTTTGTATTTTGGTAAGACTATGTATTTTGCATTTTGGTAAGACTTTGCACTTTTTTGTAGTATTTTGGATTTTGGTAAGACTATGTAGTTTGTTTCTTGTGCACTTAGTTACTTTTTAAATGATTAGGTTTTTTTCTTATGCAAAACTCAGTAGGTATACAATACCATTCATTACAAATCTATATTGCCATTACACAGGAACATAAAGTTAAAAAGTTATTACAACTACTTAATTGAAGGCAAGTACATAATATAGAAAGATCAATACTTGTTCTAAACATCTAAACAAACAGATACACTAAAAACATTGCAATTGTCAAGGCAATCCACAACCATTTTTCCCTTGACCCCTTCTTAATGAGTTGTTCTTCACACTTTTTCAAATCATCTTCACACTTCTTCAACTCATCTTCACACTTCTTCAACTCAACTCCATACTTCTTCAACTCATCTTCGTACTTGTTGATCTTCCTAAGTAAACCAGAAATTATGTTACGAGATCGGTCACACATTGGAGGGTCAATCCACACATAGTATTTGCAACCCCCAATTTGCTGGAAAAAAGAGAACACATAATAAGAATTCAAAATCAGCAAATCTCCTCATGGATTCAAAATAAGATTGACATTGATGAAATTTACAAGAATTTCATACCTTATATTTGGGACATATAGCGAATCTCCTCCCTGGATTCAAATCGGTCCAAGATGTTTTCATTATTGCTATTCTTGCACAGTAGCATGTATTATTGACCTGGACTCCACTACTTTGTGACATGTCCAGAATCTAAACAAAACAACGAAAGAACGAAGAGAGAACAAGGAGAAAAAGAAAAAAAAAATGCAGACAAAAGATGAGAGAAGAGGAGAGGAAGTGAAGAGGAGGGAAATAAAACTTGGAGAAATTGAGATGGAGGAAAAACTAGGGCGGAATTAGGGCATTTAGGATGGTGCTAAAGGAAAAGACGAAAAAGCCCATGTACTTTGGCATGTGCAGCGTGCGTGCGCCGGAGAGTGGAAAGATTCGCCAGAATATTTCCTCCAGGTGGTTATGTGCGTCAAAATGAATGTTTGGGTGCCACCGTGCAACTTTTTTTAGTTGAGGTGGGAAAGTGCAAAAACAGGCAAAGTCTAGGTGGCGAAATGCAATTAACCCTAAGTAATAATACTTGAGAATTGGTCGATCATCCTCCGGGGAGTAAACCAATTGGATGCAAATGGGTATTTAAGACGAAATTAAAACCCGATGGCTCGATTGACAAGTATAAGGCTAGACTAGTAGCCAAAGGTTATCGTCAAAAAGAAGGATTAGACTTCTTTGACACATATTCACCAGTGACTAGAATAACATCCATTAGAATGTTACTTGCTTTAGCAGCTATATACAATCTAGAGATACATCAAATGGATGTTAAAATTGCATTCCTCAATGGTGAATTAAATGAGGAAATTTATATGGAGCAACCAGAGGGTTTTATTGTTCAAGGCAAAGAGAACAAAGTTTGCAAACTTGTTCGTTCTCTTTATGGTCTTAAACAAGCTCCTAAGCAATGGCACAAGAAATTTGATGGTGTTATGCTTAAAAATGGTTTTCACATCAATGAATGTGATAAGTATGTTTATATAAAGAAACTTGGACAAGAGAATGTCATAGTTTGTTTATATGTAGACGATATGTTAATATTTGGAACTAACAATGAAGTTGTTAAATCCACTAAGAAAATGTTAACAAATAATTTTGATATGAAAGATCTCGGCAAAGCCGACGTTATCTTGGGTATTAAGATAACAAGATCATGCGATGGTATTAAATTATCTCAATCACACTACGTGGAAAAAATGCTTGAGCGGTTTAAAGGTTATGGAATTAAAGGAACTAATAATCCTTATAATCCATCTCTTGTTTTACACAAAAATAAAGGTGATAGCGTATCACAAGTTGAATATGGTCGTATAATTGGATGTCTCATGTATCTCATGAATTGTACGAGACCGGACATTGCTTACTCAATTAATAAACTGAGTAGATATACAAGTAATCCAAATAAAAATCATTGGGATGCCCTGTTAAGAGTACTTGGATACTTGGAAAATACATCTCAATATGCATTACACTATGGAAAATATCCAGCGGTCCTTGAAGGATATAGTGATGAAAATTGGATTTATGATTCAGAGGAATCGAAATCAACAAGTGGATATGTATTCACTTTAGGAGGTGCAGCTATCTCTTGGAAATCTTCCAAACAAACTTGTATAACTAGGTCTACTATGGAATCTGAGTTCATAGCATTGGATAAAGCTGGAGAAGAAGCTGAGTGGCTTCATAATTTTTTGGAAGATATTCCACTATGGCCAAAACCTGTGTCGGCTATATGTATACATTGTGATAATCAAGCAGCAATGCATAGAGCTCATAACTTTATGTATAATGGTAAGTCTCGACATATTCGTCGTAGACATAATACCGTGAGACATTTGCTCTCTAATGGAATAATTTCCATTGATTTTGTGAAATCCAAAGATAACCTAGTGGATCCATTTACTAAAGGTTTATCTAGTGAGAGAGTTGAATGTGCATCGAGGGCAATGGGATTAAAGCCTAAAAAGAATTAAGTTACCTTATACGGAAACCTAACTTGGCGACTGGAGATCCCAAGGACCAAGTTCAATAGGACAACCAGTTCTGTGTAACTTAAATAATCGTAGCAGTTAGGAGTTTAACTCCATCTTATTCCGATCCTATGATGCAATAAGTGCAACCTACGACGTTCAAAAAGGTTAAGCTATTGCTTTTAATGACGTATATATCTGTAAATTACAAGTGGAGTATAGTAGGATACTCTTTATAGATGCGGTCACCTATGTTAGTGTGAGCTGGGTCGGCTCGTTGTGAATTCTTAAAGGCTGGAATTCTAAAGCACTCGCAGAACCCGAGGATGTTCAGGGCCAAAACGAACACAACCGAGAATTTGAACAAGTTCGTTTAGTATGGTGTTAAGTTTATTGTCTTGGTTTACACAAACAGCCGACGGTTCAAGATGAAATAATTCACCGATATGCTAAGTAAATCCGATAAGCTTTAACTAGGGAAGGTTCAAGATGAAATATTTCACCTATCCCGATGTTGTACTATTCACAAAGGAATTTTGACAAATAGATCTTATGCAATAAGATTGGAAGAACAATTTTATTCATGTGGGGGATTGTTGGAATTTTCATGATTTCCAATAGGGTAAATTACAAACACCCCCCCTGAGGTATGACCAAATTACAAAAACACCCCTCTTGTTTGGATAATTACAACCACCCCCTCAACTCATCAAAATTTAGTGGAATCTTCGAGATTATACGGAATATTATCACTTTTGTACCCGTTTTATCACATTCAAACTCTACATTATGAAGCAAGATGACCATAATATGTGATTTTTAGCTTGTATATATCAGTTTGTGGTGCATCGAAAACTGTATTTTTTACACAAAGAGTACAAATTAGAGCACATTTCACGGAATCTAGATGACTATGTTGAATTTGGCACCATAAAGGTAAGAAAAAATCATAGTTGAGGGGGGTAGATGTAATTATCTAAACAAGAGGGGGGTTTTTATAATTTGACCATACCTCAGGGGGGTGTTTGTAATTTACCCTTTCCAATAATTAATATTGAGTAATATTAATTTAATTATGTAAAGATTAATTTCATTTATTTACTTGGTCAAAATCATGAAGTAAAGTGAATGAAAATTGTCTTGATTAAATGGTTAAAGTTCAAAAGATGTGCGCTCGGTGTGATCGAGTGATACGACTAGTTTGGGTTTAGTTGTCCACAAATATTACTTTTGGGGACATTTAGTAATTAGTCAAATTAGTTGACCCAAAATCTAAATAATAAAATATTTGGCCCAAACCAAATATTTAATTAATTGGCCCATGACCAATTAATTTTCCTACACTTTTTGAACTCGTAAAAAGAAGAGACACAACCTTCTGCTTCTTCTTCAACCATTGCAACCCTCCATGAATGGATCTCCACCGCCTATAAATAAAGGCAGAATCTGGCCAATTCTGTACTGAATTTAATCGGCAATTAAGAGATAGTTCTTCATATTCTTCTTTCTTTTCGTCAAAATTTCGTTCATTGTTCAAGTTCGCCGTGGGTCGAATATTCGTGCAAATATTCGACAACCGATCGTTGTACCTTGGGAGACTACCGGGAAGAGACTGTGCACCGTTGACAGCCCGGAAATATTGTCTTAAGGGAATTGCTTTGGCAAACCTCGATCGTTCTTTGTGGTTTTCACAATTCCTCTTTTCGACAAACAAGTATTTTCGTTTACGCAGATTGTTATTAATTATACCAACATTTTACGAATGCAACATCAAATAAACATTTTTTTAAGGTTGAGGTACTCTTTTTCTTTTCCTTTTTCTCATGGCTATTGTTAAGTATATATTTTTATACTTTATCGTAGCTTTTTATTTGAGCTTTTGGTGTGATTTAACGATAATTGGTGGTTAAAAAATTGATTTATTGTATTTTAGGTATAAATTGAAGAATTGGAAAAGTTTGAGGTCAAAACTGCAAATTTGGAGAAAATATGGGCCAAAAGTGAAATAATCAAAAATATGCTGAAATTGGCTGAAAACAGGCCCGCACGGCCGTGCCAAAATTAGCCTATTTTTGGCACGGCCGTGCCAAATGCTGAATTTGGGCAGAAGGTTCGGCGATTCTCGCGCGGCCGTGCGAGAATTGCACTGATTTTCGCGCGGCCGTGCCAAATCACGTTGGAGGCAATTTTGGACTTTTAAACACACAAGGAAACCTAGAATCATCTACCAAGTTGGGACATCTATTTAAGCCCAAACCAAGCACGAATCACAGGGGACTTTTGGACACAACCTTGGAGCGAGAGGAGCGAGAGAACGGAGAATCGAAGACGGAGAATTGACAACTCTTCATCACAATTCTTCTTTTATCTATCTTTTCTTAATCTATTCTTTTTATGTTTTTATTATGTTTTTCGTAGAGAACATGCGTAGCTAAGTTTTTAATCTAGGATTTTGTTGGAACCCTATGTAGGGATTGCGAACCCTTTTTCTTGAGATTATGCAATTATGATTTTATGATTATTTCTTCTACTTGTTATGATTGTTAGTGCATGAACTTGATCAATTTATGTGCTTTATCTGTGATTATTGGGATTGACTCGACAGAGCTATTTTGATAATTAGACGGTAAGTAGAAGAGCCTTCGAGTAGTTTTCACCGGATGAGTGTGTCAATTGCATGTGGTGTCGTAGACATACAGATATCACCTTAGGTAGCCATTTACGAGACTTGTTAGTTAATGCTTTATTTATAATTGGTTTGCATAGACATATAGTGAATCGTTTATGAATAATAGACTCATAATACACGCGATAGCGGGTTATGAGTAAATTTGTGTCTCGGGTTAATAATCATAAATCATATATTTCATAATTGAGGGGTTTTGGGTGAGCAATTCTTGCATAGGGGGAAGATAAAATCCTAGGTCCGTTTTATATTGATATTTTCTCGTGATTCTTTGCTTTCTTAATTAGTTTAATTGTTTAATTGATTTAACTCGACAAACTTGCGTAGGCTGGATAAAAATCATAGTTGTTAGAATTTGGTACTTAGGATTAGATAATTTACGTATTCCCTGTGGGATCGACATCCGACTCTCACGAGTC